GGGGGCGGTGGTGAGGCCCAGTGCCCCAGGGGAGGACGGCGGGGGGGGGGGCTCGATGAGGCCGGCACCCTGGGGAGGGTCTGGGGGGAGACCACCTAGAAAGATTAACAAGTCTCCCCCACAGGCTGTGAACACACAGACAAGCGTTCAGGAAAGGCAGAGAGGTGAGTGTCCCCTAACTACCCCCCCTGCCCTGCCCCGCCCCGTCTGAACTGCCACCTGCTCCTCCCAGGAAGGACCTGAAGATGGCAGAGCTGTCTGTGTCTCCCTACAGGACTGAGGAAATCCAGCTAGGTAGGTAGGGGTGCGGGGGGGACACGAAGACACAACCACCGTGCCCAGTCCGGGATCCTGCGTACAGTCTCTGAGCAGGATCTCTCTCTCTCCCCTTGCTCTAGATTACAAAAACAACATTTTGAAGGAGAGGGCAGAGCTGGCTCACAGTCCCCTGTCTACCAAGAATATCGACTTGGACAAAGGTGAGCACCAGAAAGGAGACTCTACCACCCCCTCAGCCTGTCCCAGAGTTGAGTCCCAGGACTTCTGCTCAGGAGCCTCCTGAAGATCTGCCCTGAGCTTTCCCACTGGAACTAAGGGCAGAGGGTTGAAGCCAGCCATATCCTTGGATTCTAGAGCTCAGGAAGGAGTACTGCAAATAAAGCGACCCCGGCTACTGGCTGGACCAGCAGCCCTGCCTCCACGGATGCCTGCCCACCCTCTGGAGGCCCTCCCTGGTCCCTCCCAGCGGCTGGTCCCGCTTGTCCTGGAGCTGGGCCTCAATTGGTAGGGCTGTTGTCTACACTTAGTTCTTCCAGGATCCATCTTCGTCTTCCAGAGCAACTGTGGGCTTCCTTGGACTCTGCCACAGCGTGGCTCCTGCCTTTGGGCCACACTTTCCCAACCATGGCCTTGCCCCAGTTCTGCCCAAGCTGTCATCCTGATGATGTCCAGGAAGCCCTTAGGCCCTCCAGATCTCTGCTCCCTAGAGGCAGGAAGCCACTCAGAGGGTCAGGCAGGACTGGAATCCTGGACTCGGTCCCAGTCCCCCACCTCCCTTCTGCTGGGAGACCCCAGGGGCTGTCCACTGTGCACAAGCCAGAGGCAGGACCAGCTGCCCTCTGTCCCGTGCACTGGGGACTCGTAGGTCTTCCGAGGTGGCAGGGGCCGCCTTTCCCTTTCTCTGCTTTTAGCACCTTTTGCAGCAAATTTTCCTGGAGCTTTCCCCACACTCACTGAACTAACTCTACCTGACTTTTGGCCCTGACTCCTCCTATCCCTGGATGGAATCATTTGGCCAAACAGATTTGGCTGAGGAGGTGGGAGGTGCTCTGGAAGGTTCTTGGTGGCCTGTGTTCTGTGCTCCCACCCATGATGGGCAATCCACACTCGCTCCTGCTGTGAGCGCTGACACATCACAATAAAGGACATATCTGGTTGTACACTTTGGCAACTCTCCCTCTACTCTCCTGGAGGTGGTGGGACGGGTTTGGGCCTTGGGAACCCCAAGTGCCCTCAGCCCACGCTGCTTCCTGTCTCCTGGACCAGGCCTGGGGCTGGACTCTGGGAATCTGGCATCTCAGGAGACACAGCAGCCAGTAAGGAAGGGGTTTCAGTTTCTGTTCTGAATGTTGGTTAGGATGTGGAGGGGGGGGGGTATGAAGACAGGGGACGAGGCCTGCTGGCTTTGTCCTCTGAGCGGAGTGGGCAGGAAAGTTTCACCCCTTGCAGGTGTGACCCTTTATGGAGTCAGGAAGGAGACTCTAATGGAAAGAGCTCCAGGTTGCAGGGCCTAGCAACAGAATGGGCACTGGTCCCCTTTGGCTCACGCACGGTTAGGTGCTGGCTGCAGCCATGTTCTTGGCTGGGGTGGGGGGAGCCGAGAGCGTCACAGACCTGTATCCTCACTCCGGCCTCCTTCAAAGCCCCCCGGAGTAGTGGGGACAGAAGAGGGTGGCAGTCACTCCCAGTGCAGAACCCAGCGGGGAGGGGGGCCTGGGATGTGATGTGAGGAGACACTGTCCCTGGACAATCCGGCTCCTGTGAGGGCATCAGGCCGAGGACCCAGGGAAAGCAGTCAGCGTGTCTGCTTCGGCCTGGCCTCTGTGGCCAGGCCCTCACCCAGGAGGGCCGAGGGCCGAGCCGGTGGAGCTCAGGGTCTCAGGCGTCAGCTCCTCCGCCCCCCGACTGGCCCGTCAGACGAGGCCCCCGGCTCCCCACCCCTTCCCGGGTCTCGGGCCCCTTCCTCCAGAGGCCAGCGAGGCCAGCGAGGCCCTCCACTTCCTCGTGAGCCCGCGGCCCAGCAGGGCGGTGAGTGGCCCTGGACGCCCCGGCAGGACGCCCCGACCCCTGCTGCCCCGACCCCGCTGCCCCCCGCAGGACGCCCCGACCCCCGCAGGACGCCCCGACCCCGCTGCCCCGACCCCCGCTGCCCCCGCAGGACGCCCCGACCCCCGCTGCCCCGACCCCCGCTGCCTTGACCGGGACAAAAATCTAGGCTCGGGCCGCCGCGGGGTCCCAGGCCGAGCGGGATCCCGGGACCGGCTCCGCGGTGGAAGACGGGACGCGGGAGCCACAGGGCCCCCCAGGGTCCCACC